CAGTGTATTAATCATTTGCAGGCAGGTCATAAAGGCATGCCAGAACACACTAAACGTTTCGTACCTCTATCCGTAGTAATACTCTTGGTAAGTTAGTGAAGCTTCGAGAATGTTAAACTAGCTTTCAGTGGTGACAGACCTTGAGCACGGAATGAATGTGTCATTTCTGCTCTGTCTATCGGATGCCAACGTAAATGTTATCCTGGCTCTTGAACTGCGGCACTCCATCAATAAAGTTCACAGTCAGCTCAGTCCAAGTTTCTTCAGGAATTGGAAGCCTCTGCAAAAGGTCGTACTCACAAGAATTTCATGGAATTATCGTTCGATAAACTCAGCCAGCTATTGCATACTGTTCTGCCGCGGGACTCATCCCACACCACCAAAATGACCTAAAGAGCTGCCCGTAGTGTTACCAGCACCATGGCAGGAGAACATGGCAATCTTGTGGGGCAAAGCGGCACTGCGAAGTAAAGCTAGAATGTAGAAGTGCCGAAGTCTCCAGTTTGTATCAAACCACAGCAGGCCATCCTCAATATGTCGGCGCTTGCCCTTTTGCCATCCTGGATATTAGTGTATTGGTGTCAAAAGCATGACAGTCTTGCTAGAAATCGTGTATGACCGCAGACAAGAGCGATTGCGTTTAGCAATAGTAACTCCTTAGGGTGTCGCAAACACGTCGGCGATCAAGTTGGTAATGTTCTTGATATGCTTTACGGTGATGTCTGCAGAAGGCGCCCAAGTCAGCGAACATCTGTAAAAATACCTTGTCATGGAAACTATTCTCCACGTACATAAAGACTGATCGTCGGTCTAGGCAGTGAAGTCACGGCCATATTGACAGTGCGGGCAATTTTTTTGTACCCCACAATGAGTTCCTTTTCCCGCACTGGCTACTGCTGTTCGGCCTTAGTAAGCCGGTGAAAGCAGCAGGCAACAATTTAGTGTCTTCCTTTGAATACCTGTTTCATATCGGGGAAGGAAAGCACCGGCCGACAATTTACTACGTTCTGTTGTTAGGATGAAATGTTTGTCACAAGAAGGCAGCGGAAGCACTCAAAGCGTTCTAAGGTGGATGATACTCGTCAGCGCTGCAGTATCAGTCTCCCGCAGCCCGGTTTAGACAGCATTTTCCTGAATAGATTACTTAAACGATCAGTATTGTGCGCACAATAAAGCAATGAGAACCCTATGAAAAGCTGCGTGCCCACAAAAGATTTCAGCATGCTTGCTTGGGTGTACAGGCCACCTCTTTAGTGTTCGAGTTTTCGCCGGATCTCGCTAAATTGCTGCAGCCGAAAAATGGAACTCCTCAAAACACCTTTGTGCTTATGCAAAAGAAACAAGGACGTGCTCCACACATTACTGCATGTCCCTCTACATGTAAATTGCACATCGTAAGTACTGTAGGTGCTCTACAACGATTCGGCTGAATACTGAGACGCCCATATGAGGAGAGGGGTGAGCACCCTTCCTTGATAGACTCAGGTAGGTCTTTTTAAACCAGACTTTGCAAAGCGACTGGGATAGTAGCAAGTCCAAGTGGCATAAAGGTGTACGAGTTTTGCGGGTGCAAATGTGGGACACCGTTTTTGTGTCTGTCCTCAGGGTGAATGAGGGGATGTAAGAAGGCATTTGTGCAATCAAGCGTCGAGTTGACTGTTGATCCGTGTATTTTGTCAATTAGTTTGTCAATATGGGACAGCTGTAGCTTTCACTTTACAGTAATCTTGTTCAAAAACTTAACTTTGGCTCATTAGGCGCCACCTTTCACCCTTTCCGGCACCAAACACCCGGTTATCCCAACTGCGCTAGTTGAAATCTGCCCGTGCCTTTTTAAAGCGAACTCTCTGCCCGCCGTTAAAATTTTTTGTCACGCTCTGGGGGCCTCTAGCACCCCACAGCCTTGCATCACGCTCCGCGTATCAAGACGACTTTGCCTCACCTTGTTGAGGCACCAACCCTGTCCCGCTCACCATAGATAAGATGAACATTTTGAAGGCGGCAAAAGGTTGTAGCGATTCCTGTCACAGTACTGTCCACAGCGCGCAGCCATAGCCTCATGCGCGCCTTCCATTGTGTCACCCATTGTACACGTATGATCACGTCATGGTGCACGGGTACAGCATAGAAATAATATACCATGCTTTAAGGATCCGGTTCCAATCAAAAGTGGCACTTACTTACCACTGCCCTGCTAGTTGTTGCATTCTGTCGGCCATCAGCAACCCACAGTCTCAAGGGCTACGCTTACGAGCGTACGTGCAAATTGCACTTTTGTGCCGTCTCATCAGATAATAGATCGAATTCGCATCTAGTGTCGAGGAACGCTATATATTGTTGAACATTAACGTGAGCTTGTATCAGTGCAGCGTTGCCCCATAGTGGGTCGCGAAGTGCTGCAATATTCTCTCTGGCCCCTTTCACTGCCACAGCCCGCCTGGGGAACTTCCCGTTGCTCTGATACGCCTTTAATGCTAGCCAAGAGCCTGCTTCCGCTCGGCCCAGTCTCGGTGTTTAAGCTAGTTTGCTATTTTCATTACGCCGTTTGGAGCAATCTGCGGCTACATATGAGCGCAGGTTACGCCTAGGCTTCCTTTTCTTGTCCACCATTGACTGTAGGCTAATATCGGTTTACACAGCCCCGATATCCGTAGGCTTCCAATCTTGATTTGGCCCATCTTTTTCAGTCCCAGACACAGTATCTGCTCCCATTTGCTCCCAAAACCGGTAGTCCATCATTTGCGAAAGCCCCAGGTGTCGGTCGTTTCATCGCTGCTGCCCATCCCCCAGCCACTTGCAGTGAAGCTTTAGGTAGTTCTTAGATTAATCACTTATAAGGCATTTTCCTCCTGCGTTGCGACTTTTACAAGCCAAGCTTCGTATTTCTCGATATGCCGATCTATTGTTAGGGTTCCTTGCATAGACTTTGTCACTTTGCCCAACTTCTGTTGTTCAGCTGATCTACATGCAAATCGATGAGTCAAGATTTGTACGAAGGCTAGAACCGTAGCGATCCCTGCAAGTAAAGATTTACATTAACAAGAATAGGGCCACCACTATAGTGCGTTTCCCTCCAATATACATGCCCCAAAACTTACTCTTTTCTCCTCATCGGGGAGAAACAAGGCGAGGTACATCTCCAACAGGCTGGACAAAATTTCAAAGACTCGCCCATCTTAACGACCGTCATGCAATTCCTGTCCGATGAATCCCATCGACGCATCGATTAATAGTTGTTGGCTGTGAAATCATAAGTTTGTACCGTCTATGGAGGTCCTCCGTTCACATCAGCTTGCTGCCCGGCCTCTGCCAGGCCATGAAGTGCTTTGTCCGCTTAGTTCCATGGCCAGAAATTTCCTCTGCAATTCACTGCCAAAGAAAATAGATTACTGTATAATTAGATAACGCACTCAAAGCCAGAATATATTTCCAGGAAAGTCTGACGTCCCACTGCAATCACAGGCAGTGAATGAGTGGGAAGTAGCTGCACGGGGTGCAGAGAGCACTTTATCCGAGATAAGCAAATCGCTTTTTACATACCGAATAACAACTGGCCCGAAAGTGGGCGAATATCACGCATTCTCTAACCCCTAAATTGCAATGGCCATAACCCCCGCTTCTTTGGAGCTCAAATGCGCTAGCTTCAGGTGCCTTTCCTTTTTTCCGGGCAAGTTGAAGTTCCCCGGTAAGAGCCATCCACTTTTACACCCAACCAAACGAAATACAGAGTTCTTCAGTGTTTTCCAAATGACCCCCCGCCTATTCTTTGCGGAGCCCCTTAGAACGTCCCAACATGACAGGTTGGGGGGCAGCTAGGAATGTGCTTAGCCACACCCTCTAAGGACTCCGATCTATCCACGCTAGCTGCATTCAGCGACTAGCGCACACATACACACAGCACTGAGTCTTCTTATATTGAGCTACAACAATCTGTAATGAATACAATATGCAAGCAGGCCAACCAATTAGTTTTTCTTAGTACTTCTCAGCAGAACGTAATCATAATAGTAGAAAGTGTTTAAGTGTAGCATAGTCCGGCTGACTGTGCACATTTCTAGTAAGTTTGCATGCCCCATACCTTAAGCACAGCGATACTCAGCCTGCAACAGCTCATGCCTAAGCGCCTAAACTATATGCGTGGAACACTTGGGTTACCCTCATTGAACCAGAAGGGGCAATACAATTTTGCATTGGTCAATATTATGCCCCGATGGCTGTGTCCAATCCCTGCCAAAGCCCTTCTCAGCTTCAAGCACACTACAAAGAATGTGCAGTAAAGCTTTGCTAGTGCATCAAACGTGTACCTCACGCAGATTGGTAGCGGTGCGCTAGGTGGTTATTCGGGTCGTCATCGCGCAGGGTGTCGTCTGCCCTGCAATGTTTTTAGGTGGTGTCCCATCGCCCCCGATGTACCCCTTCTTCCCCAGAAAAAACAAGTATGATCTAGCATTAGTGAAGCACTCATTGGCCTGCAGTGCTTCATGAACAGAAGCAAAGGGCCACACATATTTGTTACAGGCGACGCACAAGCCGAAGCAACCAGTCCCACTACATGCCAACATTACAGCTACGTTTTCTCATTGCACCCCATGGATTCATCAAATATGACTGCGTCAAGCGAATTATAAATAAGACGTAGCTTCGGGGTGTTTTGTTTGTTTTCCTTATCCTTTGACCCTAAATCGTTGGTGGCTTCCAGAGGTGGTGCTCGCAGGTCACGGTAGCAGCTCTTCCGACGCTTCCAGCCCGTAACGGCGGCGCTTTCACGATTTTGTTGCCTTTCTGACCCCGAAATATTGACAATAATAGAACGATCAGGCGTTTGCGGACCCCAAAAGGAGCACAACGCCAGATCGGTCATGCACTACATGCCTGATGTGTAGGTAGGCACACCTGAAACTGGCATCGCGGGGATTTGCTTGACCCATTGTTTCCAGGCGTCAACGCTTCCGAGCTCTTCCTGAATCTGTGTGTAGCCCATCTAGCCGGCTTAGCAGAGAATGGCGTGCGACTTCTGGCCCCATGACACCGCGAAGCTCAGAGAACTGCAGGACAGTATTGACGGCCTGCTGGAAGAGGCGCAGGCAGATCCAACGGCTTCTAGAGGAAAAACAGCGGCCGTTCTTCGGGGTCATGTCGGCCGTATGGCGCAAGTATGAATTGAAAAGCGGGGTCGTGGGCATCGGGGGGAATAGGGGTATCAGCAAAGCTTGAGGCACAACCAAGACGGTAGACGCACTGAAAGCTAGAGCGTTTTGCTCCTCGTGGCTGACTTTAGACGCCTATGAGGAAACCGTCCAAAGGGGCGGCAAGGCAAGATTTAGCTGAGCGCAGCTGGATAAAACGAGGCGTATTCTCATGCCTCTGCATGATCTAGAGATGCAGCTACCCTATGTGCGCACCCCGCAAAATCTTTGGTGCCCAACTTTCTTTTGCATTATCGGGCGGTTTCTTCTCCCTTTCTGCTTCCATCTTGCCTAGATGTTACGTTTCTGGTGCGCTTTGCGTGGGTGTGTTCCTCCAGACGTTCTCACAATTGGAGCATTCGCTCATGAGGGCCTCAGAGGCGCCTGAGCTTTTTGGCATTGATGAAGAGGAAATGCAGCGCCGATACAGCCAGCTGCAGCAGCTTACACGGAAAAGAGAGGCTCAGGTAGAGGCTTTTAAGGTCTTGTTTTCTCTAGACCGACATGTATTGCACCCCAAGGCAGATCCGGGCGAAGAAGCAAATGCCCGATTTCTCGAGGATTTCGGAGATACAACCACCACTTCTGTCACTCTTGTAGGTGTTTAGAAGACTAGTTTGCTCGGGGGGCATATCGACCCAGTGCGAAGCCTATGCCGCTCGTCTTATTTGTTGGGGAGGGGTCCTTAACAGATGAAAACTCGCACATGCATATTCTGCAGAGCAGTGGCTGTACACAGAACGCGTGAGCAAAATGGCAAATCCCCCTGCATGAAGAATTCCATTCCCAATCTCTATTTACTTTCTCTGCTGGTTTACCAGCGTGTCGTAATCACAAATATCTCCTTGCACTTGCATCATCTCGCTGTACTCATCGCTCTATGATATAAATATATATGTAGGCAGGCAGGTAATGACCGCCCATTGCGGAACTAACGGGCTACTCGAGCCTCTGAATGTAGCTAGCTGTGTGCCTCTTTTGTTTTATACTTCTTCCACACTCTCATTTCTTGTGCCTTCTTTGAATTTCGTACATCTGTGTAGGTTTTTGTATTTGGGCGTCTCATTAAGGGCCACGGATTTTGTCGCTCCTGCAGGGCGATGCTTTTCGGTGTCTGTGGCTCTATTGCGAATGTGTGGGCACCCAGTTGAGTGGATTCTTCATGATGAGTGCATGCGTGCTTGCATCCATCCAGACATGTGGTGTTCTCCTAGCCGTTTTGTATCCTTCGCAAGTGTCCAAGTTGTGTTTTTTGTTTAGGATGACGTGGGGGCCGCAGATTCTGGCGTGAGTTACTTCGACGCGGAGACGCAGATGTTGAGGGAGCAGGATGAGCAGCTGTCCTTTTTGGAAGGGTCAGTTTCAAACTTGAAATCTATAAGTTACGCGATCAAGGACGAGGTGTCTGTACACCACAGGTTGCTAGACGCCACAGAGGCTGAGGCCGATAAAGCGGATGCCCAGTTGAGGCGCAATAAGGTTTTGCTGAAGAAGCTCATGAAGCGGCATTCGACGTTGTGCCTCCTCCTCATTGCCGTGGCTCTCCTCTGCCTTCTCGTCTTTCTCCTTGTCTTCACGGCATGAGCGGCGGTGGAGGAATGCGCGCACTGCTGCTCGGCAGATTTATCTGCCTCTCCCGCCCCTAGCGCAGCGAGCAGATATCCTTGGTTGTTGGGTATCCTGCTGGCCTCCGACCTGCACGCGTCTGAGGCCCTTACCTTGGCAGTGCACATGTGCGCGCTCTGTTGGGCTGCCGCATTCGAGAGCTGCGAGGCTCCACTCATTAGCCTGTAAAGGGGAAAAATTAAACCCCGAAGCCAGAAGGCACTGATACGCCTTGGGGCTGTCTCGATACCTTCGGGAGCCCCAAATGGTTCTTTTTGGTAAAACTGCGAGGTGTGTACTCGTGTGTGATTTTCGAGCAGCGTGTGTTTCGTTTGTGCACTGTATTATAAAGCGATGTATGTTTGTTCGTTTCCAAAGGGTGTCTACGGTTGAGCTGCCCTTCAAGCGTATGTCTGCATGTGCACACACCGACGTGTGTTCGCGGCGCGCGCACGTGCAGCAGCAACGTCTGAGAAAAAATAATTCCCGCCGCATCTGCTGCAACACGTCGGAGGAGTTGCCGCTCGGGCGGAGGCAGTCACAGGTGTTGGAGTTGTGGGGGCCTGTGGCTAGGGTCTGGCTCTTGAACAGATACTCTCGAGAATCGCCAGATGGAGAGGGCCTCTCCTCTGATCCGTCGGTACGCAACGAGCTGAGACCACGCAGCGCACGCAGATCCCTCCAGAGGGAAGATAGAACAGTGGAGAGCAGGGGTAGCGAGTAGCTGCTGAGTTTTCATAGAGGGGTTTTGGCGGCGTGCAGCTCACTGCGAATGAGACGAAAAGGCGATACATCTTATACACACGAAACACGGAGGCAGGAAGCACTCGCCAAAGCATTCGGGGGAGAGGGGCCTACCTCAGCGTGACAGCCGAAGGACTTGAGTGTCTCAACAACTTCTTCGGGATCGTTATTGCGTTCGAGCAACTGTGAGAAAGGTAACCACTACACGGCAAACATTGGAAACTCAGTCCCTGACCTGTGACCCCCACACTGAGCATTCTTCTAGCGGCGTTCCCTTCCCTCTATATCTGCCCCTTTCTATCCGTATTTCCTTCCCTTCGCTCTTTGCCTGCGTCTCCCCATGCCTGGCTACATGGAAGCCCGCACTCGCGACTCCCGCTTATTCTTGCTATCGTTTCAATGACGCGATGTTGGCCGCTAGCCGGCTCACCAGAAACAGTATGCCCTTAGGACTCAAGAATTCCTAAAGCAAATCGCACACGGCGCAGGCAGGGGAAAGGGAGGCAACCATTAGGTCCTAAAAACGCAAAAAAAGTAGGAGGGAGTAGGAGACGTGGGATGCGACGACGTGGAGCCCACACAGTGTTTTCTCAGTCAAGACAACCTGCGAATCCTCTTTCCAAAATGCTCTATCGGATGACAAATAGACCCCCGTGCCCCATCACCCCGCTGCTCGACGCTCCAGTGCATGCCCTTCGGTTTCCCTCTTTGCTCACGAGAACGTCCTCAACAAATCGGTCGATGACAACTCGTCCTCTCGCACCACCCCACCATGGAAGATCCTCCGCAAGCACGACATCTCGGGGGCTTCCTGAGACATAAGGCTGATCGAGGGAGGCCGAACAAAACGCACTCACAGAGCAGCTTTTCTGTAGCGCATCCCACCCCCAGTACTCAGCGAGGACACGAAGCTAAAAGGGGGGATCGGGGAGCCGGGTAAAAAGTAGTGAAGACTCATGTGGGCATCTTAGGAAGAGTCTTCTTCCTTCTGCCCCGAGTTCTCAAGTCTCCCGTGCTTGTGCATGCAAGCAGTCTGGGGGCTCCCTTACTGGGTTAAAAATGACGAGATCGAAGGGGCCCATTGAGTCCTTGGGCAGGGGTGACCCTCTGGGGGCCCCATCTGTATCCGTAGAGGCCTCGTTTTCTGACGCCTTGGCAGTGCTGTTACGGGGGGGGCCCTCTCTCTGCCGTCTTCCGAGCTTTCTGAAGGCGTTGAAGAGGTCAGCCCCCAGAATTTCGGCCTGTGCGTAGGGGGCGTTGCGCTGCAGCGTCATTCTTGTTGCATCCAAGGCAGCGAGTTGTCTGTCTACCGCAAAGAAGACGGGCAACGGGCACGTGCGGACGGCGGTCTGCTGCTGGCATTCGAGGCCCTTAAGGGGCCCCCCCTGCGGGGCACCTGGGGGCCCCTCACAGGCATTCGGAAGGCCGTCTGAGTATAGCCTGTGGAATAGCGTTGCCAGGAAGGCAGTGACGCACCCGCTGCCACACCTGAAACAGCGCAGAAACAACCCCACTAAGACGGTAGGGAGGACAGCAGGACGGGAGGATTTCTGAAGGTGGGAAGGAGGGTGGCTGCGAGAAAAGGCGCAACACTTCTACAGGCGACAAACGGACAAAGCCAACACAGGTGGCGAATGGGCCACATGCAGCAGCACCTGACCGCGTGTGCAGCTCTGGAATCCATGCCGCGTGCATATGAGCAAGCGAGTCAGCTTTACCCTATTTCCAAGACAGTTGATGGTTGTAGTGCCTTGAGGAGGTGCGCCTGCTGCTGCAGTGCATCCATCAGAAGAAAGGAGTCCTCTGAAGGCTCGTAGACCTCAGGAAAAGAGACCAAATGGCACGTGTTGGGTGTTGGGATCTGTAAACCGTCAACAACCGGCTGCTGGGGGAGGGGCATCTTGGCCAGTGCGCACCGAGTTTATTCCTCTAGGGGCCCCGCTTTTGAGACCCCGCCTACAGAAAGCTCCACATGTGGCTTGAGAATGTGCACGCGCGTTTCAAGCACGAAACTTCGGAGAAGTCTGGCAATTTGTGCGATGCCCTGAGCTTTGTGGGAAGCGTGGGAGGGAGCAAACACGCACAGGCGGCACAGTTCCGTGCTGTTGCTACGGCTTCAGCAGAGCAAATATCTTCTTTTGCGGCGAAGAAGTTACTCGTGCGGGCGCTGGTACTGCAGCCCGTGTGCAGCCTATCGCCTGTCCCTCTCTGGTGTATCGACAGGCACTGACTACACCGGACCGTTTGTGTATGTGTACCAGTGGGGCTGCCGCTGGAAACCCCTTTGGTTTCATGAGTAGAATTTACTACCGACTCTAATTAAGTATTTAAACGACCACGAACCAGTGTTTCTGCTATTGGCTACTAAACCCGCTTCGTACAGTGAAGATTTGGGGCCAGCGTTCCGGTACTAAAAATCTTTCAGAACATATCGCGCTAGACTCAATATTTGAAAAGTCCTGACGCTATTCCTTTGCTTTTAATCCACAAAACCGTTAGTAGAGAGAGACTTGAGTCCATCAGCGCCCCTCCGTACACGCAAAGACACACCCCCACATCGATACGGGGGGCCCTCAATAAAGCATTTCGAGGTTCTAGGGCCCTCTGCTTGACAGTATACCCCACTTGCAGTAAGCATCAAACCTGTCACTTCATGTGCCGGCACTTGGAACCTCACCTCACGCCCTGTGCGTGGGTGTCCCCGTCGCACCCAGAAGGGCGCGAGCCTCGTGACTGCAGGGTAGCCGATCCACGATTTTTCCTCGACCACCCCTGCAAAGCATGACGAAACATAGGGGTCCGAAAGTGCGCTGTTCGACACTACGCTGCCGAATTCCTGAAGTCTCACCCCGAACGACTGAGTCAGATCCTGCGCTAACGGCGCCTGTTGCCCCGACCTTTGGCAAAGGGAGCAAGCGACTGCTGCTGCATCCCATCCTGAAAAAGTACCCCAGGAGTTCTGAAGAGGTTCCGCTGTGCCAGTACCCCGTAGGAGGCGCTCTGTCCATGGGGGGCGGCTGGTGGAAGCGGGGGCCTTGTTGGTCAGGTGGGTACCTCTAACCACTCCCTGATGGGCCCCCTGAAAGCCTCGAAGCCCGCAAACCATAGAGGGCTCCCCCATGTGAGAAAGTACTAGTCCCCAAGAGGTCACTATATACTCCGAAAGAATGAGGCAGAAGGGCCTTATCGAGAATTGGCTCTCAAAGGGTACGCCTAGCAGGGTAGAAGGGCCCTGCATGGGGATGTGTTCTAGGGGCTTCTCGTGAACGCTGGTTCTGGTGGGCCTCTTGTGATAGCGCCAGATGCGTTCGCCAGACGCTTGCATACGTTGTTTCGTGCATGCCCCCTGAGTGCTGCGATCATATTGCTGCATCTGTCTGCGAGGCCGCACATCTACACGCGCCCTGAGCCTCCCTGTAATGGCAAGTGCCCTTCTGGCAACTACCTTCGAAGCGAGCCGCCCAGCAGAGTGATGCTCCTAGTCACCATGCATCTAACACCAGCAGCAGCGGCAGCTGGGCTTCAGAAGGCGCAGCAGACCCTATCGACAAAAGCCTACAGACAGATACGGCGAGCACGCAGCTCTCCCTCTGCACGAAATGCGCGACCCTTCCTAACAGGGGGCAGCACTCCCTTAAGTCTCGTGTTTCACCGCCTTCGCTACTAACCACGCCTCCTTCCAACGCTGCGCAGCCCTAAAGTATACAGACGAGCAGAGCGAATCTTCAGAGCAGAGCAGAGGGAGGAGTGCGAGCGAGAGGACCTAAGCGGGAAGGCAACAAGCGCTCAAGATCCACGAGGTACACCAGGGGAAGAGTCTGCGGATGCCTAGACGACGGCCATACAAAGCGCCCCGAAAGCCGTCAAGCTAATCATGGGCAGCAGATCTTGCCGCCTCTCTCTGCGACACCTCTGCAACTCGCTCGCTAGGATCTCTAAAAGCCCCACGTGGAGAAAGGCACCGGCCCCAAGGCCAGTAATTACTCCCGGGATCAACCGTAGATACGGCGAAGAAGACTTCCCTTCCCGTCCAGCGCCTAGGGCAGCGAGCGCAGCACACACCCCAAAAAGCACGCGCTTTTCACCACCCTCCTTCCCATACAAGCAAGCCTATCTAGGGAAAACGACACGGCACGCAGTCGACAAACGGCAGACACTGGGGGCCGCTCCCCGACTGCAGAAAGGCATTCCGAGAGACCCCCGCCTTGCAGCGGTCGATAGCGTTTTTCACGCAGCACAAAAGAACAACAACAGAACAACAACGAAAGCAGCAACCCGTCCTTACCAGAGAGGCTCCCTTGAGAGCCGTAAAGGAAGAACAGCCCGCCGGCAACGCCAATTGGAGCCGTCAGTGCATACAGCAGCATTTGGAAGACGTAACTCCGGAGAGACACCCGAACTGCAGCAGCAAAAAGCGATGCGCGCAGCAACAGCCGGAGGGCGAGCAGACAAGACGCAGATGCACCGAGAGAGAGAGAAGCACGAAGCAGCCATCCAAGACGACCATTCAGGGAGAAGATCCCCTCCCCCATCCCTTCTTCTAGTGGAAAGAAACCCCACAGGCTAAAAATATACATACAAACATACACGCATATCGGGCTCTGGACGCGAAGACACAAAAAACACGCTGCATCTGCCACAACACCACCCCGCGCGCATGCATGCATCGACTCAGCAGCTGACTACGGCGAAGAGCCACCAGGCCTCTCACCGTGCAGAAGAGAACTGCCGACGGCGAAGGCTTCCAGAGTCTTGTGCAACAAGATCGCGAGCGCGATGGTAGCAGGGTTTGGAGCGGCTCCCAGAGTGAGGCCCTCCATCACGGAGTGTACAGACAGACCGGCCAGCAACAGACTTCCCAGAAAGAATGCCTTGGAGTTGGCCACCGACGGAGGCCCCGCAGAAACCCTAGGGGGCCCCCCTTCGTAAGGGGGCCCCCCTTTCTGCCCCTGCTGCCCAGCAGCAGCGGCAGAGCTAAAAGAGGAACCTGCCTCCATCAACACGTATGGGCAGCTTGGTATGCGACACTCCTCCCCACCCCCCGCGCACATGCCGCCGCTGCTCTCACCGTAGGCGGCCTCGTGGAAAGACACCGGAGCACCACCACCACCATCACCACCACCACCACCACCACCACCACCATCACCACCACCACCACCACCACCATCACCACCACCACCACCACCACCACTCCCTTTAAAACAGGCCGCTCCTGCTGCTGGCCCAGGTGCAGATATCTTTTGCCCCTTCCCCTCAGTTCTGCTGCTGCTGCAGCTGCAGCTGCTGCTGCTGCTGCATGCGGCAGTCGCGCAACAGCGGCAATTTCGCCGAGGAGAGTTCGTTGGAAGGTCAGAGGGGCCCCCAAGCCTCCTGAGAGACTGTGAACAGCCACCGATCAACTCCGTGTTCAAGTCAGCCTCCCCATACGAAGCTGCTTCTGCCCCTCCTACGTCTTCCTCGCACCAGAAAGAAGCCCTTTTTTCGCCATCGGCAACAGACGATGCAGGAGCCGAAGACGGAGCGGCAGTCCCTCTACTGTGTCGCAACTGCGTGTGGACAGTCTGAGGGCATGCATTCCTTGCTCCTGCTGGCTGCAAAGGCACAGGAACGCTTGGAGAAAAGGCCTCTTCTTTGCTGTGGCTAAAGACGCTAAGACTGTCGCACGAAACTCTCGCTTCCCCATCACGCTGCGGCTGCTCCTGCATCTGCTCAACAACAGCTTCGAGCGCAGCCGAGAGCAGGAGGCCTATCAGGCAGCAGAGAGGCCCCGCCGGGTATAAAGTTGCCTTTTGTCTACTTCCTTGACGACCCTCAAAGTCGTCTGTCTCCATAATCTCAGAGAGCTGCCGCTCCGCAGCGGGCAGCAGATGCAGCAGCGAGACAGCAGCCACAATCCCGGCTGTATAGACAGTGGCAGCGCGCACGTAGAAGGGCGAGGCGCCAAAACAGCAGGCTGAGCCGGCTGCCCCGTAGTTGCTGCCGCAACAAGAAGGGATAGCAGTGCAAGTTCCCCTTCTGCCTGCACACAAGAGATTGGTCTGTTGGTGCTGCTGTTGCTGCTGCCGCCGCAGCACGACAAAGGCAGGAACCGCTCCCACCACAGCGCACAAGAAAATGAGAGCCGCAGCGATCAGTTTCATCGCGACGCTGCGCACGCACCACACTCGCTGTTGAGCACAGTCCTGGAGAGGCGCAAGGAAGCTCGGACGGTGTCAAGAAAGCTCGACAGCGCAGACTCTCGCAGCTCGCGTCCGAGCAACAGAAACCGCAGCAACAGCAGCAGCAGCAGTATCGACTCACTCTGCATTCTCCTCCTCCTGCAATTTGCCAGCCCCCGTGATTGAGGCCCCCTGAGCCTCCATCTCAGATTCCTTGTGCGTGGCTGAAGGCGCTGAATGGGCTTGTGCTACACTGCTCAAGAAACAGCCAAGGCTAAGGAGCAGCAGAAGGAGGGCCCATGGAAGCGAGCAGGAGGGCCCCTGCTGCCTCGGAAGAAGACACAGCGGGGATCTAAGGGGCCCCGAGCAACACCAACCCATCGGTGTGGATTTGCTGCCCGAGGAGAGGCGCTCAAGACGTGTGACGTCAGTCACTGACAGAAGATAAGAGTCCCTGCGAAGTGCTGAAAGAGGAATTTGGATCGGTAGTATGCGCAGAATGCATTTGAATAGGCCAGCGTGGCGGTGAAGCGGCGCCGCTCCGAGGAGGGAGGTAGGCGTTTTTCAAACTCCGATCCCAACAGCGGCTGCACGGAATAGGGTTCGCCAACATGACCTCACATATGGGGCCCCCAGGGGCCCCACTCCGTAGTTCAAATGTCGATAGACCAAAAATTCAAACAAACATGGACGAAATAACACCGTGTGCTGGGCGCTGGGGTGTATGCGCAGCTCCGGCAAGCGGGTCTGCCGCAAAAAACCACCGCCACAGCGGACTTCCACCGTGGAAGGTAGAAGTAGCTGCTTTCTTTCAGAATCAGCAATAAATCGCCCCGCAAATTTGAGCCATGGTATCCGCATTAGCAAAAGAATGCCAGTAACATGCGGGGCGGGGGGCCCCTGGCTGCTCGTAGGGGGCCCCCGCGGTGGCCTTGCCAAACGGGGTACCCATGCTGCGCCTGGGGATCGATCTGCATTCCTGTAGACACATATTGACCTTTATTTGTTTTCCATTATCTCCGCTTTCAGCTGCGCGAGTTGATGCTCTGTGGGCTGGCTTCCATCTCTTTTGCCAGGGCTTCACCCTGCCACCGTGCATTATGCGTCTGCGCAGAAGTTTCTGCCGCTATTTTCTCAGAAGTCTCTGCTTCAGGGAGATGTCTCGGAGGTGGACGGCAGCTTTGTGCGCCGTCCTGTGCCTCCGATGGCCATAAGCTGTAGCGGTCTAAGCTACATTCATACACGTTATGCTTCACTGGTCATATTTGACTAAGATTAATAAAGAAATTAGTGATTGTTTGGGCTGCCCTTACACATTAATTTTTGCACAGTAGCTTTAGCTGGATGTAAGCAGACGCAGTCTTATGTGCGTCTGCGTTGCTTGCTACGTACAACTAGCTGTGAATGCTCAATGTGCTTGAAGGGCATAGCTACGCGTACCCTAGCTGTCCCTCTCCTCTCAGTTCAGCAGCTTTAAGGGACGTGGGCAGGGGATGGAGAAGATCATTTCCTAAATAATATCTTATTAAGGTGCACTGAGTCTTGTGTCCAGTACATCTTTGCGGGGCCCCTATGTGGAGCGGTAAAAACGCCGTAGAGGGGATCTATATACAGTTCCATATGTAACATTCTCTTCTCTAGCCACACACAGAGACGCACATGGCGCGAGGGGATGCGGCAAGCACCCTTCCCGCACGACCGCGCCATCTGCAGTTTACAACATTGTAGACAGCGGGAGAACACTAGGAGACGAGGCCTATTAAAAGTGGAAACTCCGCCTCTGGCGTGCGTCTAGCCCGTCCTCCCCATCACAGGCGACGCCATGCCCGAAAAACTTCGCGGCCTTAGGAGCAAGGTAAAGATTTGCCCATAATTCGCGCAAAAGATGAATCGGTCATTGCTTCCCTTGATGTCAGTTCTCCCGCTTCGATCTTATTGCACTGGATCCTGAGTTCTTCAATGCTAGGCGGCTGATGACGCAGTATCCGTTGTGTGTGTGTTTGTCGAATCGTCCTTACCCTTTGGGGCGTTCCACGCACCCGCTTCTTACTGCCAGCCGCCGCTGCCTAGCTTAAGAGCAAGTGTGCTACGCGTGACCTTTCCTTATTATGGAGACTTAGATCCTCACTCGCATTTAGGTCTGCAGGGGGAGTAGCTTTGGCGCAGGTGTGTAGGTTCGCCCGCAGTCTCAGGAAAAGTGGCGTACGCACTGCAATGCATGCGCAACTGCGTGGCACAGTCCGACGTGTCAAGGCTCCCCCCCACATTCGAACTCTTGGCGCTCCACATCAGGAAACCGTCCAGTCGCAGACTTTAGGAGTTCCGCAAACACAGTTGCTGTAGAGACTCGCGACAAGGCCTTTATGAGGCCCCTTTGAGCGGGAGGTTCCGTGCATGCTCGGGATATCTGAGAGGGAGCCTCCTCGTTTGCAGCATCACTCGGCGGGGTCGAACTCTCCATCACACGCCATGCGAAACTGCCAGTCGAGCTTTGCCGCGGTATAGACTTTCAGCTCTGACTCCGGGATATGAAACTCAAACATCTTTTTCAGCATCTCCCCTACAGTCACACATCCGCACTCTTCACACGGTTGCTGCAGAAGCATAAGCCCCCAGTTCAGCCCACCTGGGTTCTCACGAAGCCGAAGCCATAGCTTCTGAGAATCCAATGCCTTCTGCCCGAAGGTTCGCCGACCATCCCCCCATAGGGCCCTTAGCTAGCCACTGGCTTCCCACCCCCGCATTCTCCTCGTACACCCCACGGTGCATTCCTTGCAAGCCATCAATCTGTGGCGGGCGATCCGGCTGGAGTCGCCCAGCAGCTGCAGCACTGGCAACGGGACCAGCGCCACTGTGAACGCGCGAGTCTTCAATACTATCCAAAGCAGCGCTACTAGGAAACAGAGCAGTCTTTGTAGGACTCCTCTCCTCACCATTATAGAAAATTTGGATGGCTCTATACGTATCATCGCCCCCGTCGCGCTGTATTTTTGTGTGCCATGGGAACTCGTAGCCTGGAGGCGGCACTGGATGTCTGCAGATTTCGACGGTGACGATGCTTTTTGCGAGCTCCTCCGTAACGAGGTGAAGAACCTCCTCGAGGCTGCTGACAAGGGCGTCTGCCTCGTACTGGCCCTCTAGAGGGACGGCACTTGAGAAGGACACGAAAATCTTCTCCTCCACCGCGCGTGTGAGCTCCTTGTCTACCAGTGCCGCTGTGAGCAGGTTGCTGCTGTCTGTGACGGGCACCTCTTTCAAGGGTCTAAGGGGATCTTCCGAGGGCTTGTAGGATCGCTCCGAGAACCCAATGACGTGTACATGCACCGGGCGATCCGTCCACTCCGGTTCTGAGAAGGCCGTGGTCTCTTGGGCCAAATAAGCGGCATATTCATCTGCAAGCGACTTGTCGGTTAGCAAGATGACAACGGACAGGTGAGGGGGAATCTCATCGCAGGAAACCATCTGGGCAGCCAGCGACAGACCACAGGAACTGTTGGGTTAGAGGGGTCGACAGAGATAGCGGGGAAAGGGGGCCCTAGGGAGAGCACGAGGCCAAGCAAGAGAGGACGATCGCAGACGCAGAGTCGAAAAAACCGACTCATTAGGGGAACCCCAAAAAGAGAGGGGAAGCTGTGCCGGCAACGAGGATTACGTGCCTGGCGCCACTCAATTACAGGTTGAAGTGCCTCTGTTACTTTGATGGCCTTCCACCTGGAACAAATCGCTTGCACAGCAAACGTAGCAACAGGATCTGGTTTAATACGCTTTTTATCCCCTGCACGTATTGGCCCTGGCTTGCAGCACTTGGCGTCTAGCGCCTTGTGCGTAAGTGCACGCAGACGCCCAAAGCCGAACACTGCACCACTAACCTGTACACTTGCCGCGTTTTTCTGCGTCTCTGCACTGTGGTCTCCCCGCTTTGCCCTCTCTCTCTGTCTGTCTCGCTTTTCCTTGTCTTACTGCCTGTCTGTAGAGTGGACTAAGTCCCTATGTTATCTCTGTCGTAAGCAGCGTCTGTAACCTGTGCTGTGTCAGGTCTATTGCCAGGCCCCCCTTTGTGCCATCCTTCGCTGCGTTGTGGCGCATCAGCCCCTCTTTTTAACCCCTTAATGATGGCGTTGCGTTGCGCTCGGTTGGCGCTCAAAGGGTTTGTGGGAGTGCCTGGCACTGACTGACTCCTCCGGCAATTCTCTCGTTGCCTTCTTGGGGTCAACCGCCCCCCACTGGAAGACCATCCCCTGCTTCCAGTCGTGTCCGTAGCACTCCATGCCAGTTACGTTGCACCACGTCTTCGGAGACGCGTAAAAGCTCTTGAATCCCCATTCAGAAATCATGAGACTCGCCTCTGAGCCGATGGAATTATCCACGATAATGTCCACGACGATACGCAGAGCTGGCAGAGGCGTCTCGGCCTGCGCAGATGCCGGAGCTGCCAGGAGATTTCGTTGTTGTGGCGTGTGCTTTAGCCCTCGCGGGCTGATGCTGCGCATTCCAGACGCCCTGGAGTAGGGATAGGCAAGATGCACCGAGGCTGCGGCTAGCCTGGGGTGCCTTAGCAGCTGTTTCGGGGAAGGACGAATGTTTAGGTGGTCTGAGGCGTCCGAGGCAAGAGAGCTCTGAGTGGCCTTCTCCCTGCACGCTCCAGTCTTCGCATGCGCGCCGCAGTTTTGGAAGGCCGCAGAAGAGGGCGCCTTGGAAGAAGAAGCAAACATCGCCTTTCTGCTGCTCACACCTGGTACCAAGCCGCTATCCCCGCTCAGCGACAAAGCGGTCTCCGATTGCACGGTCCTAAATATATCACCAAGATTCACCCGTGGACATGAGTGGTGGAATGAGTGCTGCAGAGCTGGAAATGGCAGGCCGGTGGGTGCACTAGCGAAGAGACAGAGAGGCAGAGACGGAGAGAAAGACAAAGGAGAAGCCGCTGTTTCGTATCCCGCGCATTGGACGAAGGGCGCAAAGGGGAGGGCTGCACTTTTTTCTGGCTTAGCATATATCAAGAGTTAGGGAGGGTGACTTGAAGTCCAGCACATACTACCGCCGCTTGCCTCTGTACGGTGACCGAGCTGATATAGTCGATCTCATCGAGCCCATTTATGGAGGGGAGGGAGAAGGAGAGGGGTTCCACTTGTTGCGCCAAGGCTCCCAGAGGCTGTGCAGGGTTGTCGCAGTTGACGGTTTGCATGACTAGGAGCAGTCGTGCGCTATAGCCTGTTTTCTGCGGACTAATGAGGCGGTGGGAGAAGCGTTGTATGCACGGATTGCTGAATGTGGAGGGCGTGGGGTGATCGGCGGAGTAAATCAGCGTCCCCGCTGAGTCACGCACTGTAAGCCGGAAGAAACTGGCGACGGCCATCACCGATTGTTCCAGTTCAAACCCTAGGGCAACCCAGCCTGCGTTGTAGTGCGTGACTAGAGTTGAGGGTAAGAGTTTAAATAGGAAGACACCCTCGTCGAGCGGGCAGTCCAGCTCGTGCACTACTTCTTCCGAGCTCTGGAACCATCCGGTGCAAGTGCCAGTGGAGGACGGCGCGCCAGTACCGGCATTCGTGGCCGACGCATTTATCAAAGGCATGACCCCTATCTCCAGCCTCCCCGAAGGAATCTTATCTCCGAAAAGGAGGCGGAACGTCACGAGCGTGCTGCTGCGGCTTTTGGAGGTGCTCTGCAGCTGCGGTCCGACCACAGCGGCCACCATGCCGGGGGTGTAGACGGGAGACGGCAGCCTTGTTATTTCGGCTGTTGCCTTGCGCTGCAAGTTGGAGAGTTTGACGCTGTACTGCTGCGTGGCAGCCTCAGGATAAGCGAGCACTTGAGGGGCTGGCCAAGACACCCCACTGGCCTCCGAGAAGGCCTTCAAAGGGAGGTGTACGGTTAGAGCCTCACCCTTTTCCATTGTGACTGGGTAGAGCGTGACGGTGGTTCCTTGGCCTCCTGTGGGTCTGACGGGGAGATCCGCAGTGACGACTTTGTAAAACTGCCTCGTGAACGGGTTGTAGCGCTCACGAGCTCCAGGATCGTAGAGGAATGTGCGCTGAGGCACATAGATCTCTAGACCCCCCTTGTACATTTCCTCGGGAGCGACAAAGGTGAGGGCAACCGAGAAGGGATACTCGTCGTTCGGCTGGCCTCGCACAAGGGATACCGCAGACTGCAGCTGAGGCGTGAAGAAGGATTGAGACGCAACGACGCTGGCATTCCAGTAGGTCATTGTGGTGCTGAGCTGGCGGCTTAACCGCTGCTGCAAGCAGTAATCTTGCGTCGAAAATTCCTTTTGCAAGCGCTGGTTGCTGCAAAGCAGAGGCAAAAGCAGAAGCAGAAGCAGAGTAAGGCATGGGTGGCGGGAGCGCCGAGCGCAGGACAGAGAAAAGAAACCCCAAGGCACACAACAAAGACGGAAGGAGGCAACGCGAGCCAATAGAGAGGCGCGAGGCTTGCGCTGCTGGTAGGCAAAGAAGGCAGATGGACTATAAAATGCTTAAAAGTGCAGCGCAGCAGCAGGAATTCATGCCATGCTTAAGGAGAGGCGTGCGTTGCTGGCCGGCTGCACACGTCAGAGAACGCGGTGAGGCTGCCTTGCCTCTAGAAGAACCAATGGCAGTTCGGAGAAAAGAAAGACCGAGGAAGCAGAAAGATCATCCCGCTAGCCGCATCAAAGTGGAACCAGCACTGCAAGGAAGAGCAGATAACGCCAGAGAAAGAAAGAAAGAGAGGGAGAGAAAGAGAGGGAGAGAAAGAGAGGGAGAGAAAGAGAGGGAGAGAAAGAGAGGGAGAGAAAGAGAGGGAGAGAAAGAGAGGGAGAGAAAGAGAAGGAGAGAAAGAGAGGGAGAGAAAGAGAAGGAGAGAGAGGCGCAGATGGAAATAGCTCTGGCCGCACGAGCGACTAAGAGGAGAGGGCCTGCTCTTTCTGTTGTAAGCAGGACTGAAGCAGCAGGAGGCGCATAAACGCAAGCACCAGAGTTTTGTTTCTCTTGAAACCCAGCACCTATCTCTCCAACAGTTGTATGACACTAAATGTAAAACGTCATCCTGAAAGACCCTGTTTCTGACCACTCTTCAATCCTGCTCTGCTCTTCAATGCGTTCCTCGCTGAACGTCTGCAGAACTTCCAGCAAAAATTCAGAAGATACCTCCGTGCTGTTGGTCGTTGGTGGATAAATCCCGTGCAGCACAATCGTCCCTTCCTGAGAGAGGCATCGACGAGCCGTAAACCGTGGGCATGAAGAGAGTATGCGACTGGATTGCGTATGTGTTTTCCAGTAGTTCTGACTCCTTGGGTGCTTGCTGCGAGAGTAAGGCTTCCCCTCGCTGCAAAAGTGAGACTTCCCCCTCGCTGCGAGAGTGAGACTTCCCCTCGCTGCGAGAGTGAGACTTCCCCCTCGCTGCGAAAGTGAGACTTTCCTCTCGCTGCGAGAGTGAGACTTCCCCCTCGCCGCTTTACATGAAGGCCCTTGTGCAACCTCTTCCAAACATGCGCCGGCTACAATATTGACCGCCCCGATTGAAGCCTATCTATGACTTTGCATACATAAATATGTACATACATATATATATACACAAATAGATGCATATATATGTGTATATAGATGTAGAGCATTCTCACATACTTGCACGTCAGTTTTCGGATGTGAGAGCGTGAGGGTTCTGATTTCCAGCGCGTTCATCTCTATAAAGCCTTCTTCGCACGTGCTGAAGAGGCTTCCTTCAGAGAGGCTGAGGCATGTGTTGTGGATATCCCAGCACTCGCGTAGTTTCTGCTGCACCCAAGGCGGCTCTCCGCTTTGCTGAAGCCCGTCCGACTGGCTGCCGCATGCGACTGACGGGAAGCGTAGCCGAAGTAAGGGGCCTTGTATTTCTGAGGTGTACAGAAGACGCGCAGCACCAATGGGTGGCCGCAACTGTGGGTGGGGCGTTGAAAGCAGTACGAAGGGATGTCGACAGAGGCGCTGGATTTTGAGGATGGTGATATATGTGAAGCGCCATATCACACCCAGGTCCTGGAAGGCACGCTGGTGAACATATTTGTGAAAAGAATTGAATGCCCCTTCGCTCTTGGCAAAAAGGGCAAGTACCAGTGACGCACGCGCGAAAACACCTTCTTCCCCCCCTTTTCAGGAAAAATTTTGACACTTAGGGGCGCTCTCAGACTAGGTAGGCATCCCTCTTTGCACTGCATGTGCATGTGCGTGTGTTGGACCATGCAGATGCACACAGATTTGTGCATGGAACTACACATATAGGTACAGGTGCATAAAGGCTCGTCCTACACACGACGCGTTCTACTGTCGAAGGCTTTCGCTTGCAGGAAAAGAGAAGGCGAAAGGCGCAACGTGCACAGTCAGTCGGGAAGCCCATTGTGTGGCAGAGGAGAAGCGCAGAACTCAACAGGGGCAGCCCAAGGTGCACACTCAAGATGTCATGCTGCCTCAGCCATACACGTAAACACCACTCCGCAGCTCTGCCAAGGAGGAGACACCGCAAGGCCAAAGAGAGGCGAGGGCGGTGCTACCCCGAGGCAACGAAAGGTGCTGCACGAGGAAGGGCAGACAGACAAACGGATGGGGATAGAAAGCAAAACTACCTGCCAGCGCCACGGCTAGAAAGTCGAATAGAACGGACTTGGAATTGGCTTTGCCAGCTTGAAAGTGAATTCAAGCTGTGCTGAAAAGAGTCCGAGGATATTCGGACGGTTCGGAAATCTTGCGTTTTCTATGGAGAGGCCGATTTTCATCGCGGGTAGCGCGGCAAAGAGCTGACCCCCACACAAACACACACAAACACAAATACACACACACACATACAAACACACACACTCGAAGTGCATCTTCAAGACTGTATATTGGGGAAGGGCGAATCTGTGCGGTAGTCGCATGGCGCTGCCTCTGTCCTTGGCGTTCGAGGAGGCACAGAGGCTGGCCTGTGTAGGTTTTGCTTCGCTGCCTCCTAAGCGGCCTGTGTGCGGCAAGGCGCGATGCCAATGCTGCGAGCTGGACGTGTACAAGCACGCGCATGTGGAGATGTGCTGCGTTGCTGCTGAAGGAGCAGCAGCCCCTCCGTTTCCTCGTGGGTTGCTTCTCTGTTTTCTGCCCCTCGGCAAGGGCCAGGAGTTTTCCTTTTCTGCGACAGTGCAAAAGCCTCACCGTCGAGAGATTGGCCTTCCCTATAAGCGCCACATTTCCTGCCGGCGGAATGCCTGCAGAATCCTCCTGAGAATTGCTTCCCGCAGAGGCTCTCCAGGAAGTCGAGGGGGGAGGCACTTCCAGCACTTCAATGCGGCTGAAGCAACGCCACACACAATAATATACGTGCATATACATATATGTATGTATGCATTCGGGAAGAAGTGATGTGCGGAGAGTGTCTCATCTGATTTGAGGGATGCAAGTATTTTGGGACCTTTTGATCGCTTTTCGGGAAAACTGAAGGAAGCTTCGCACAGGTGCTGTCAGTACTGTAGCAAAAGACATTGTAGCTTTAGGAGTTTATCTCACAGCTCTCCCTTCAGCGGCACTTCTTTCTCTGCCCAATCAAACATGAGGTCGAATTCCCAGCGCCCCTGAGGAGCCCAAAGGAGACTTTGGAGCATCTCGCGGGCTTTGACTGAAGACGGCGTCATCAGGCAGCAATAAAGTCGAGCTGAGCTCCATTCACCACTCTATGTAATTGGGAAGACGCGAGTCGCGAAGAAGAACGCTGCAGAGTGTGCGAGCGAGGGAAGAGCGGCGGAAAGACAAGGTTCAGCACTCAACGAGATGGAGAAGCAAGGGGCCCAGCAGGGAGAGGTTCAGGAGGCAGATCGCCCAGAGAGAGAGAGAGAGCTGCCGACGGAGCAGGTCGATTCTCACCGTGGCTACAGTCGACGAGTTCGCAGTACACGCTGCCGCAGAAGGCATCGCCGTTACACTCTTGAGAGTGGGGTGGAAGAAACGGGGGAGGTAGGATCAGAGTTTGTGGTTTGGGGGGAGTTTTTGTTTGCGGTAGAGTACGAAGCTGGAGGGCTGCACCCTCCACATCGCAGTTCATATCGGCATCGAAGCCTGCTCGCTTTAAGACTTCATTTCGTCTCTTTTCCTCTCTTTCCGTGAATTCCTCCGGGCATACTTCCAGCCGCCTGTGAGCCTCCAAGTTGCTCCTTGCCCCTTCTCCTGCGCCAGTGTTCCCTTCTGCCGCTATTCGTTTTTGCCGCTCTGGAAGCAAGGGAGGAAAGCTCGCGTAAGCGTCTCTACCGTGCAGCTGTTGCAGCCTGCGTGGAGGTGCCGCCGCGAGATATGCTGCTGCAGCTTCTGCGTCTTCCTTTAGGCCCTCTTCGAAAGTCACGTTTCCGGAGGCTGCCTGGGGGGCCAGCTCAGCTAAGTAGTGATAAAGGTCGTCCGTCTCTTCGTCTTCTCTCCACGCGTTCGTGTTGCTGACAAGACGGGGGCTGACGCGAACTGGGCTTCGGGCTGAATTCCAAAACCTCCACATCATGCCACAGCTTGTTTTGACAAGTTGTGCTTTCAAATGCATGCTTTTGCGTGTCTAGACAGTTACTACGCGAGCTCCTGGCATATCTGCGCTCCTTGAAGGCATGCTTTGTGCGGATGTGCTTTTAGGCAGTGGCGTTGGGTGCGCAGGTGGGCAAAAACCCAGTTGCAAAGGCAGCCCAGAAGGGCTCGAAGGAGCCTACCAATGTCGGAGTCCAGGTGGACAGACACCTGAAACGCGGAACCTTGTAGCACCCGGGGGGAATCAAACCCGACCGTTATGCGGTGACCTTTGGAACCCCAGCGATGCGTCTCAGCCTGTGCCAAAGCGCCAGCAGCCACATGTCACCAGGAAGAGGAGCAGTTGCACTAGCTGCAACTGTTGCCACTACCGAAACAACCGCAGTCGAGCAAAACTCGCGGTTGCTGCCTGTGTATAAGGCGTTACGTGTTTCAGAAAGAAGCCGATTCAGTGCATTTGCTCGTAGTTTCTGCTTTCTCTTTGCACATTCTATCGTGCCTGTACACCCTAACTGAACCGTTTCGAGTGTCGCCGATTGCCGTCCGCAGCGTTTCAAAGCAAGAATGCACACCTGAACTCCGACGGGTGTCAACGGCAACTCATGAATAGGGCCTTCTTGGACCCTATAATCAGCAGCGTTCCCAGATAGGTGCGCAGTGCAGCAAGTCGCCCCAAGCAAAAAGGGACCGAAACAGCAGCAAATGGACAAAGTCAGGGAGCAAGAAAAGGGCAGAGGCAGACCAAAAAAGAAAAGGGCCGCTTTGCCCGACACGCGGATGGAGTTTTCCATTGAAAGTCTGTGGGGCGCCTTGTTAGAGGGGTCGATCTAGCAGATATACTGAATGCAGCAGCGACCCCACGAAACCCGCAAAATTGCAGACAAGGTGCTTAGCAGCAGCTGGCTATTCCATCTTTTATTGAGGAACTGTGGCACGCGCAAAGGTGTGGGCCCCTGAGCCGAATACGGGCAGGCTGATGGGCCCCTAAACGGCAAGAGGGCGCAAGGCTCCTGAACAGGGATGTACAGACACGTGGAGGCCGTAAGAGTGTGCAGCTACGCTGGATCGGGTAGGTGTAGCACCGTTCGAGCGGCAGCTAACTTGTCTGCCAAGATGAATGTTTGGTCGCGAGTGACCTGTGCACCGCAGTGTTGCAGCAAGCGGCCGGCACCGGCGCAAACAGGCTAAGCATTGCTGCCACAGCGCAGAAGAGTTCGTGGGAGGAAGTTTCATGAGAGCAGCCTTAAAATAATCAAAAAGAGATGCAGCTGACTCGGTTTTAGTGGAAACTGCCGCGGCCGAGGGAGCTGCTAGACTCGAACGGCAGCGGCTGGCTCTACACATAACAACAGCAGCAACACAGGAGCAACTCGTCGGCTGTTCGCTGCCTTTGTTTTTCCGAGGGCTCTTCTCCCTTGAGTATAATTTCTTTTGTTGGAATGTTTTTTGGTCCAAGCGAAAGCGCGCTTTATGTCCAGCGGGCCCCTGCGTCAGGTGTCTGTACACCCCAAACTCAGTTTCACTCGCCCGCCCAGCTGCGGCTCGTTCGCACTGCTCTTTAGAAACCCGTTCCACTCTATTGTTTGGCCTTTTCTTTCATTAACGGCCAGGAAAAAGCCCCAAGGTATGTCTTCGCATTGTTCTCGCTCCCCTTCGCTCCCCCGCTCATTGCCACCCAACAGCGGCTCGACTTCTATGCTCTGCCCCCTCCGCCACGCCTCTGCTCTTTCCAAAGATGCTTCCGGCTCCTCGTACTCGAAAAGCCACTTGCACAGTCAATTGTTCTACGAGCTGCACCATGTTGCTAGATCCTGCTATCATGGTCTTAGGGCCCCTAGAACACCCGCCGTACAGCTTGACACAGAGAGTTTCCTGCTCTCCCCTGGCTCCCTTGGGGGGCCTCATGCAAGCCGGTCGCAGTGTGTGCTTTGTCTGCCTGTGTAATTGTGGCGTTATTGATGTACAACTCGGGGAAGCGAAGAACGACGACCCCTCTTGGGGCACATGTATCCGATATTTAGGCTACACTGCATTGGCCATGCGGCATATCAATATGCGTGTGTGCATGTGTATTTATATCTGTCTTCACACCAGTCTCTCTCTCTCTCTATCTATCTCTCACTGTGTGTTGTGTATATGTATATATGCGTACCTTTTGTGTGTGTATGTGTGTGTGTATGTGCTGTCTTCTTGTCTTTGTGTTGGATATCGAATCGAATCCACTCGGCTATTTCCTGCCCTCTGATTGTTTATTTGGCGCGTTTCTCTGACCTGCTGTTGGTCTGCTGTATTTTCATCTCTCCCGCGGCACTCACTCCCTCCCTCCCGCCAGCCTGCCAGCCTTTCCTTTCTTGCGTTGGATCGTTGCAGCTTTCCATGCCCCTCGGCGTGCTGGCTGTTGCACTCAATGGCAGACGTTCGAGGTTCAGAAGGGCCGCCGCAGGCTGCGTCAAGCAGCAGCAGCAGCAGCAGCAGCAGCAGCAGCAGCAGCAGCAACTCTGTTGGCTTTGTGCCTTTGGGACCTTCAGCAGGGAGCAACGTCAGCCACCGTCTAGCAGACATCGGGAGAAGCTTCCTTGCTCGCTTTTCCTCCCTACCTCAAACCTCTCAGTTCGTAGATAAAGGCACAATGACGCCTCAGGAGTTCGTTGATGCGGGAGATCTCCTCGTCTTCAAGTTTCCCACATGGCAGTGGTGGGTTACTTTTTGCTCGGGACGTAACTCGTGTTTGTTTTTACGGGTTGCTGGAGTCTTTTTCACGAGTCTTTTTCCGCGCAAAAATCACTCTGATCGCATCGTGCTCCGTTCAGACGCTGCTGCAGTGCCGTGTGTATAAATATACTTCCACAGATACGTATAGGCGCCTACTTTTGTAGAGCCGCTGCGCATGCCCTTAGGGATGCGGCTTTAGGCTTTCTCGCCCGCCCTCGAGAGTCTGTGATGCCTTCTCAGGGAGCCTGCTGTTGGCAAGCGAGTTAACAGTTGGCTACCCCCAGACAAACAATTTCTCGTAACCCGTGGCGTGGCATGTCATAGACGCGTTCGCGACATCGAAGCCTCGCTGAATGCTGAGGTAGGGACGGTGGCTTGGAAAAAGCATCGAGGGGGTCGTCTTGGTGTTGCGTGTATGCGTGTGCTGGTACTCTAAGCAAGAGAGAGAGGAACAGAGAGAGAAAGAGAGAGAAAGAGAGAAGCGAGAGCAAGAGAAAGGGAGCAGGAGGGAGGGAGAAAAAGAGAGAGACAGAGAAAGAAACAAAGAAAGAGAGAGAAAAGAAGCGTTGTAAAAACTACTGTGTGGCAAGACAGAGACGCCTTTAGGGTTTGAAGAGAGGTGTATGTGGTCTTTTCTTTCAGGCTAAAGAGGACGGAGAGGGCTGGGTATTGCCAGTGGACGCTGATAGCGAGGAGCTTCAGGAAGCTCCTGCCCTCCCTTGTGCAGCTGTTGCCTCTAGCAAGCCACTGGTTCATGATGCGAGACCAGGTAGGTGGGGTTGGGTGTGTTTGTGTGGGTGCTTCAAAGGGTTTCTTGGAGGGTTGCTGCTGCAGCGGCTGTGGGGTGTATGGGGGGTCTGTGCGTGACTTTTTTCGCGAGCACGCGTGGAGTGCGTTTCAGGAGACGATTTTCCGCCGCTTCTAGACTCATCGGCAGTGAGGCTTCGACAAGGGGGGGGGCACTTTGTTATTGGGGAGGCATCTAGACAAGAATGCCTTCCTGCATCCTCTGGAGTGCTGGCGTAAGCAAATTGCTGGGTGACCTACTTACGGCTGTTTGCAGAGCGGTGCCGCATTGCCGGATCTAAAGAATCTGCGAGATCTCGACAGTCTGCTTTGCGAGGTAGGTGTATCCAAAGCGGAGCGATCGCTGCGTAGATCTTAACAATTTATGAAAAGCGCGGAGGCAGCTCTTTAGGCTCGTGAAAATATGCTAAACGGAGGGGAGGGGGCAGGAGGAGGGGTGGGCAGGCGGACACGTAAAGCGGGAAGAGGGGGGGTTATACATACATAACTATATATATATATATATATATATATATATATATATATGGGTGTATATATACATAGTGTATATGCATAGTTATATATGCATCTGCATGCTTATGTATATGTATACATATGTGTGTGTATGTGTGTGTCTGTGTGTGTGTTATAAATGTATATATATGTGTGTATGTGTGTGTCTGTGTGTGTGTTATAAATGTATATATATGCATATATGTCGGTGTGTTGGCGACTTGCCTATCTCTCTGCAGGAGGACCCTGCATGCGCGGATTCGTCAACTTCCTATTTTGTTCGTCATGCTCCAGATGCAGGTGCCTGCTGACTGCCATTTTAATATTTTGGGGCAGTGGCAAATGCCATATGTTTTTTTTCGATTGTTCTAGCGGGGGAGGGAGGGAGGGTAGACTGCGTTCGTTCAGGCAACCGGTGGCAGTTGTAGGTCGAAGGAAGGGGGCATATATGTATGTATATGTATACATATATTGCATATGTATATGTGTATATGTGTACATGTGTATATATAATATATATATGCATATGTATATATATATACATATATTGTATGTGTATGCCGGTGTTTTGGTTGTTGTTGCAGACGTGGTGAGCGTGCGGACGTATGACTTGAGCATCACGTATGACAAGTATTTCCAGACTCCAAGGCTTTGGCTCTTTGGCTACAATGAGGTAATAACTGGCGCTAGGCGAGCAAAGTCTCGCTCTTTGTGGGGGGAGGGGGAGGGGCAGGCGGGCAGCTAAGGGGTCTTGTGACGAGCAAGATCCTTTGTTTGCTTTTTCGCAAAACGGCCTGTAGTTGTTCAAGGGGAGAGGGGACGGTTGAAAAGGCTGTTGAGTGGTGGCACAGGGGGGCAAGGAGGAGCTCAAGGGGTGTGAAAAGGGTAGGGGCCAGTGCTACAGTGTGCTGCAGAATGGAACGCCTTTGACGCCGACGGAAATCTTTGAAGACATTCTCACGGATTATGCGGCTAAGACTGTTACTGTGGATCCCCATCCATGCACGGGGGTACCTACGGCGTCAATCCATCCTTGCAAGTGGGAATAGTGGCTTTCTCGTTCGATTTGCTGCTGCTAGAAGGCATAGGTGTAGAGCAAAGGCGCGTGTGACAGCGCAGGATTTACGGGTCGAGTGGTTGAGGCTGGTTGTTTGCGAACGACAGACATGCGCAAGTGATGAAGAAGGTTGTTGACCACTGGCGATCACAGGGCGTTGAGCCGAGGTAACACGATAGATAAGGGCCCCCTCCCTTCATTTGGTGATGCCATGTGAACTATGTGGGCATATGTGTGCATGTCTGTGTATGTGTTTGTGTATATGTATGTGTGTGTCACTTCGTTTCATGGCGGCTCTGTTGGCTTCGTCTTCTGCTGCTCTCCACGGGTGTACAGCTCGATGAATGACGTGCGCTGAATACGTGTGTGTTTATGTGTGTGTCTATATGTGTGTGTGCATATGTGCGTGTGTGTGTCGATGTCTGCCTCGCCGCGTATTCTCCGCTTCTTTCCGTGGCAGTAGAGAGGGGGTGGAGAAATTCGTTTGCTGTCTTTTTTCTTTGAAAATTGCCAGAGTGGCGGCTCTACGAGAGGGTGCAGTTGCGCCGGTCTGTGTCTCTCCAAATGCGCCTGACAGGCTGTCTGTCGTACTGCCATGCGCATCAGGCCTGATCTCGCACTTATTGTCTTGCTCAAGTTTATTTCCAGCGTCGTTCCAACCATCGACTATGACTTCACAATGGATATCGACATGGGATTGTGCGGACCTGCTCCCCCCAACGCAGAGTCGTGAGGAAGGCTTGCCTCGGAAGCTCGCGCGTGGAATAAGGAGGCAGGAGGGGGAAAGAGGGAAGTGGGGGAGGGAGGGGGTTGCTAGAGCTTGAAGAGCTTCAACGTAGAGAGAGGCTCTTCTTGCAGCGCAAGGCAGGAGCAGGCAAAGAGCCACCTAACTCCTCCACATCCCCTCTCCCCTCGCTTGGTGGGGTTGTTGGTCGCCCTTCGTTTGCTTTCTAGGGGTGCCAGCGATATTTGCGCGAGGCGAAATAACCACTTTTAGCGGTCTCGCACATCGCCAAAGGGCCATTATATGTACATACACATGGATATAAATAGATGGGTGGGGTCCACAATTCTCGAGAAGGGCGATCCTAGGCATGTGCTATTCAGTTTCCAAAAGTGCCTAATGGGCGTACAGGGCGTATCGCCGATGCCGACCCCTCCCCTTTTCCCCCTTCAGGCAGCACAACAGCCGCATGCTTTTCCTTATCGTGTAAGGTCCTTAGAAGGGGGCCCCTTGGAGTGACGAGACACTCTGAAACCATTAGCCTCGGTGTGCAGGTGGCGTCCAGCCCAGCAGATGTGTGTGTGTTTAGGGAGAAATGTCACATGCAACACAGACGTTCTCACGTTTCGCGCGAAAAATGCCTGCGTCCACATGTTTGCTGGTCGTATTTTCCCCTCCCTCCCTACCGTGCGCAGCAGCCCTCCGAAATTCCTCCCTCTTCACATGCAGTGCGGTGGGAAGAAGATGATGCGTTCACTCGACAAACTCTTCCCTTTGCCGCCTGTGCGCTGCTTGTGCGAGGAGGACTGCACTGCCTCCCCAGCTTCTCTGCAGACGCTCCTGCTGGTAACCAGCGCTTTTTTGCACGTGCTGCGGCAGCAGCATCTGCATGTGCGTTCTGCTCTGTGCCAATCTGCACTAGGGTAATAAAGCAGCTACTTTCTAGATACAGCTCGTAGAGCAGGCGCCAGCTCTTCGTGGCGCATGCAGACACACAAACTGACCATCGCCGGTTCAGGGGTAGCGGCGGCACTTCGCCTTGGGGAGCGCACCCGTGCCTAAACCTCCCCAGAGGATGAAGGAAAGGATCACACTTCTTTCCCCCGCTAGAGAAGAGCAGTGCCACGTGCATTTTTATTCTGGAAAAAAACTTTCCTTCTGCAAGTCATTACTGGCAGGGGCCCTAGCCGCGCGCCTAGCTTCTCGAGACAGCTTTTCAGCCCCTACTTTCTTCTGCAGCCGAAGTGCATACTTGCATGCAACGCAGAAAGAGCACGCAGTGGACGAGCTCCATACACGTGAAGTGCCCAACCTTCAGTTCTTGGCAGCCCTCTTACAGGTGGAAGAAGGCGAGGCAGCCTCTTCCTCCTCCTTGGACGCCTTCTCCTTGCGGCGGCTGCTGCTGGAAGTTTCACACTCGGGAGGAGCTTCGGGCCTAACATCCCACGCACAAACACACACCCATTCAAATGAAGTGCCAGGTGTATAAAATTCGAGACTGCCACCTGCCGCAGAAACCTCTACCAGGCGTACAGACGGCTGCTGACGCTCTCGTGCCACGCCCATGACGGCCGACACCAGCTTTCCCAACCCTTTCCCTTCTTTGCCGTGGGGTGTACAGACAGCTTCTGCAAATGCAGAAGCGAGGCGCACCGCAGACTGAGGAACAGGACGGAGAGCGTGAAGAGCAGAATATGCGTCAAATTCACGTCGAAGGTCCTCTGAGCAGCAGCATCAGCAACAGTAGCAACCACACGCAACACCGTCCCCAAACATCAACTCAAACACGCTTTGCCACCGTCGGCTTGTAGTAAAGCGCCCCTATGAACCGCCTTCCCGAGGCAGTGTTGGCGCATTGCCGATTGAGACAAGCACAGCGAACATAAACACTTTTCCCTACAAGCGAGGTTTGCAGGGTGGTCTGCATGCCGCCACTCTACGCGCCAAAACACAATGTGCCTCTCCTCTCCCCATCCTTTCCCTCCCCGATTGGCAGCCGCCATCAAGAGACGTCACGCCTCTGTCTGTGTGCAGAGCGCCCTCGCATGCCCACCCCCGCATGACGCCTACTGTATCCTAGCGACTGCAACGCCTACCTTGAAAGGAAAGAGCCTCTGCAAAATGAAGCCAACCCTCCAGCTGCTGAACCTGGGATCTTGTGCGGCGTTCCACAGTTCGCCAAACATGTACAGCGAAAGCGCAGAGATGCACATGGCGAAGAGGCCCAGCATGGCCGCTGCAATCGCAAAAAAAGAGGCGTACGATTTCAGGTGTCTATACACCCCGCTTCCGTACAGCTGCTCGGCGCTGCACACACCCACCTTGGTGTGTACTCGTTCAGCCCCCGATTACCGAGTATCCCTTAAAAGTCTGATCACACCCTCCCTCCTCTGCCCTTCCAAGCAATTGACCTCTACCTACCGTCTAGGAAACGCGAAGGCTGCACTACTGAACCCATTGTGAATCTCAATACACTGGAATGGGATCGCGGCGTCGGGTGTCTGCGCAGCAGCTTTCTGTCGTCAGGCTCTCTCGGGCTTCGAACCCGCGAGGAAAAGGCCCGTTAAACGCTTGAACAAGTTTTTATTCTTATTATTTTGTAGTTTATGAGCGGTTATTCATGTCTCGCTGCCCCCCGGGGCTGTTACATGCGCCTGCAACACGACGCACGCGTTCTGCAATGCGCGGCAGCCACCACCAGAGGGCAGCTGCGTAGCGGCATCCCACCGCGCGCACAAGTAACAACCCCCCTAACCTCTTGACCCTCCCTCCTATGAGGGCCCCCTGATCGTGCTGCTTTCTTTAACAGCCTCAGTTTCACGGTGTTTTTGTCCCCATATAGAGAGGCAGGCACGGAGAGAGAGAGAGAGAGGCACACGCTACGGAGCGCTTGTTTCTCTCTGCCAGCTACTGCACTTCTGGCAGAGAAAGAAGGAGCGTTCGAAGCCACGTATGGCTTCCCTAGGAGGCCCCTCATATACCGAGAGGCATCTCCTGGCAACCCGCCGCACGTCAAAATTCTCTCCAGCCTCTTCATTTCTCCTTTTAAATGCGCTTCTTCATTCCAAGGCGCACGATGTCGATCCGAACACAGGAGTCTCTGAACCGCAGCAGCTCTCGCGCCCCTACACCTTCCTACTGATTGCCACCATCATTGGTGGAATTTTAGAGGACGCGCGGCTGCAGAAAACTGCCCGAATCCAACCCTTTGAGCTGTTTCTTGCGCCTCCGCATACCGCCATACTTTTTGCTCTTCTCTCAGCAGCGTTGCTGCAACCCACCTTCCGCATCTCACAGACAGACACTCCATACAAGACGGGGGAAAAAAGCCTCTCTCTGTAGCGGCTGCTTCGCTTGCGCGCGTCCATTTTCACGCGTTCTGCACACGTGCTCTCTGTCTCTATCCGTCTGCATCTCGCTCTCTCTCTCTCTACATATAAATCTGTTTATCTACATACATATATCTCTCTCTATTGCGTATAAAACTCATGGCTTCTCTCTTGGCAACAACATCTTCCAGCAAGGGGCATAGCGGGATACCCCAGCCTTGCAACTCTCCCTCTGCAGCTTCTGCAAAGGAGAACGAAGATGAGCAGCTGGAGCCTTCGCAGAGTGAGCACCTGAAGGCGAGGGTAGTTTCATCGCGTCGACGGTATGTGCCAGCTGGAAGCAACGCAAGCGGCAGTTTAGCTCCTCCCCCCCGTCGCCTTGCGTCTTGTGATGCCTCTGGGAAATCACCAGCGTCTTCCGCAGACGCTGCAGAGGGAGGAAGCGGAGGAGCTGCATTCGAGCGAGTAAGGAGTCTTCTCCTCTCCACGAGTGTCATTGAAAAACTCGCCGAGGTAGCCAGCGGCAAGGCTCCAATCAATCCGGCTCGCCGCATGCGCCAGGCACACAGCGACTGCGGAGAGCCAGAGGCAGCTACAGCAGCAACAGCAGGAGCAGCAGCTACAGCAAGAGCAGGAGCAGTAGCAACAGCAGCAAGAGCAGGAGCAGCAGCAACAGCAGCAAGAGCAGGAGCCGCAGCAACAGCAGCAAGAGCAGGAGCAGCAGGGGCAGAAACAGCAGCGTTAACAGCAGCAGAAACAGCAGCAGCAGCGGCGGCTTCTGAGGATGCAGCGCATGCGTCAGCTGAGAGGGAGGGAAATGAGCGTCTACGGCAGCAGCCCCTTATGTCGACGGCTTATTCTCCAATTCTCTGGCAAGAGGATAACTCCTGCGATTTGCAACAGATCTCTGAGGGTGCTCTCGTGACACGTCGAGTTTCCCTCGTTCCATCGTCTACCTTCTCTTCGCCTCTGCTGCTTGTATCACCCCCACGAGGAGGAGGAGCAGCAGCAGCAGCTGCAGCAGCAGCTGCAGCAGCAGGAGGCGAAGCACAAACAGCAGGTGCTGCTTTTGAGGTCGCCTCTCCAAATAGCCTCACGAGAAGGCACAATCTTCTTCGAACTCCTCATGATCGCGACATGGACGAAGAGGGGGGGGGGAGACGCCTTCTTCCTGCAGATTGGATAGCGGCTGCACCTGGAGTAGAAAGGGGGGAAATCACCGCTCCAGAAGCCGCAACAGTTGCAGCAGTTGCTGTCACTGCAACAACAGCAAAAACAGCAACAACAGCAACAGCGAAGACAACAGACACACCAAGAGAAACAGCAGCCGCACTAACATCACACGGAGGTTCCAATGCTGTGTCTGCAGCTTTACTTTCATCGGGAGCAGTTGGAATCGATGAAAAGGAGTTTAAAAGCGCAAGAGGTTGGGCTGCCTTTGGAGGTGAGAGACTTTCGGAGAAGCGCCTTCGCACGAACATGGTCTCTTCGGTAGCGTCTTCTTCTTTTTCTTCTGCTTCTGCTTCTTCATCTGCCTCGAACATGGCACCTGCTGCTGGTGCAGCTGCTGCACGGCGTTTCTGGCTGAGATCTCAGCAGCAGGGGAAGCAGCAGAAGCAGCGTCAAGTGGGGTTGCCTTTGCAGCCGAAGACGGCTGGCGTTGTTGTTGCATCTGGTGAGTCTTTAGCCAGCGTCGCTGCTGCTGAGACGTTTGGCTCGAAGGATTCGCAGAGGGGCACAGCAACGGCAACGGCAGCGGCAGCAGCAGCTGCTGCAGAAACTGCAGCAACGGTGCGACATGGCGTGACCAATGACGGTATTTCCTCCACGGTGATTTTTGCGGAGGGAAGTAAGTCAGACTGCAGAGACACCGCAAGCAACAGCAAGAGCAACAGCAAGAGCCAGTCGGCTGTCAGGCTGGAAAGCAGCTCGAGCAACACAAACTTGAACCTGCGTGCTCTCCGAAGACAATGCTACAGATCCGACGGATGCCCCCTGTTGCAGGCGGTAACTTCAATTCCAGGATCTTCTCGACGGACGATTAGCAGCAACAACAATAACGGCAATAATAATAACAATAATCACAGCAATAATAATAATAATTGCAACAATAAAAGACATCGCCGAAGCAGAAGTCCGCTTAGTGCAGGGGATGCCACTGCTGCCAGCAGCACCTTGGCAGCTGTCCATACAGCCGAGAAAGCGTCGAACACGCCGCTTTCTGGAAAGGAGCAGCTGCAGCAGGGAAGCCTCCTTTCTCCCCGCTCCCAAGCGCACCAAGAAGTTTCTCCTCTGCTGCTACAGGGGCAGCGGCTGCAGCAGCAGCATCAGGTTCGCTCGCCGCTGCTGCTGTATGAAGAAGAGCAGCAGCAGCAGGAAGAAGAAGCAGCAGAATCTGCTGACTCCGAGAGCTGCGCCTCGCCAGACGCGTCTCACGCTCCTTCCCGCATGCAGCAGCAGCACCCTCCACCAACGTTCGAGGTGGAAAGCTCTCAGCATGGCATTTCTCACAGCCTCCTGAAGAGTGCTACCGGCTCCAACTTTTCCGCTGTTTCGCTGATGCAATCCGAGCCCTTTATGAATGAGACAAACTCGGCAGCGCCTTCAAGCAGTGCTGCTGATGCAGCAGCACCTCGTGATTCTCCTATTCGACCGCCTTCTGCTGCGGATGCTGCAACAGCCGCCGCAGTTTCTGCTACTGCAACAACCGCTTCTTCCTCTGCTGCAACAGCGCCTTCTGCCGTGGATGGTGCTGCTGCAATTTCTTCTGCTGCCGCTCGTTCTGCTGCTGCTGCAATAGCTCCCCCCCCTGCGACAACAGCTGCTCCTGCAACAGCTGCGCCTTCTTCCTCTGCTCCTGCAACAGCTGCGCCTTCTTCCTCTGCTCCTGCAACAGCTGCGCCTTCTTCCTCTGCTCCTGCAACAGCTGCGCCTTCTTCCTCTGCTGCAGATGCCGTTGTTGCAGCTGTTGCTGCTGCTGCATCGCCAAGGAGTAGAGTAACAAGAGTGAATTCTTCTGGCAGCACCAGCTGTGTGGGCAGACAAAGCGTGAGGCATGCTTCATCAGTGGGGGAGATCGAAAAACAGCAGCAGTTGCAGCTCTCGCTGTCTGAAAAGCCGCAAACTGAAGCAGGGTGCGGTCGTGTGCATGCGACAGCGCCTGCTTCCACGTCTCCAGCTGAAGCATCAGGAGTCTCTGCAGAAGCAGCGTGCTCAGCGGATGCAGCAGACGCGAATAACACGCTGATGTCAAACGGCACAGGCGTTTCTGTCGAAGTGCCAGTCGCGCCGGTCGAGATAGGGGCAGCAGACTCAGAAGCCTTGCGAGATTCACTTTCGGAAAATTTGTCGCGAAATCCGCGAGCTCTTTCTCCCTGCAGCCGGGAAAAAGACGTCGCTGCCTGCCGCAGTCTGCAGCAGAACGCAGCAGCAGCAGCAGCAGCAAGGCAGCCACTCCCAGCAGAACCTGTGGGGTGTCGCAAAAATTCTGATATTTCTCCGCGAAGAAGCCCTCGACTAAGTAACGCCTCCTATGTGGAAATCTACCCGCCGCAGCTGGTCTTTTTGCAGCAACAACAGCAACAAGTGCAACAAATGCAACAAGTGCAACAAATGCAACAAGTGCAGCAAGTGCAACAAATGCAACAAATGCAACAAATGCAACAACAGCAACAAGTGCAACAAGTGCAACAAGTGCAGCAGGTGCAACAGGCGCAACAACAGCAACAAGTGCAACAACAGCAACAAGCGCAACAACAGCAACAAGTGCAACAACAAATGCAGCAACAAATGCAACAACAAATGCAACAACAAATGCAGCAACAAATGCAGCAGGAAAGCATGGGTAAGATGTCTGTGTGGGGGGGGGCCTCCCCTACGCCTGTGCCAACCTCGCTCCGCCCTCCTCGCCTTGCGTCTTCCGTGAATCGGGAAATTTCTGGCAATTCGCAGTTTCCACTTTTAGAGCAAACACCCCCTCTTCCTCCTCACAACAGCAACATCGGCAGCAGCAGCAGCAGCAGCTTCTTCCCAGCTCCAACCGATTTCACAGGCGGTGTCGAACGCTTGCTGCTAGAAGCTGCGACTGTCGACTTGATGATGAGTCCGAAGCAGCTGCAGCAACAACTGCAACAGCAACAACAAGTGCAGCAGCAACAGCAACAAGTGCAGCAACAGCAACAAATGCAGCAGCAGCAACAAGTGCAGCAGCAACAGCAACAAGTGCAGCAGCAACAGCAACAAGTGCAGCAGCAACAGCAACAAGTGCAGCAACAGCAACAAGTGCAGCAGCAGCAGCAACAACTGCAGCAACAACAAGTGCAACAGCAACAGCAACAACTGCAACAGCAACAAGTGCAACAGCAACAACAACAAGTGCAGCAGCAGCAGCAGAAAAGCGGAGGGCCTTTAATTCCCATTGGAAGACGTATTCTTTCGGGGAGCTGTTCACGCGAAGATTCTGCAGGGAGGGGCGGCAGTAATGAGCGCTTTCGTCTGCAGCATGCTGGAAGACTGCCGTCTCAAGGGATAAAGGCTTCAACGGCAGCTCCTGTGGAGGATGCTTGTGTACTCGAGAGCGGAGGGAGACAGCAGGAGGCAAGTGCTTTAAGATGTCTTGCCGGCTGCTCTCCTGCCGAAGCTGTCAAGCAATCCACGCAGGTGGAAGCAGCGGGGAGGCGTTTGGATGCAGATATGGCGTGCCTCGACGCTGTCAACGGTGGTACTTTGGTGTCTTTGCCCTCACCATCGCATCCTTGCATGCAGGAGCAGCAGCAAGAGCCAGAAAGAGAGCAGCAAGAGCAAGAAAGGGAGCAGGAGGCACATCGCTTCCGGAGGCGAAGTGACTCTGAACGGAGGGGCTGTAAGAAGTCTCGCCGCATGTCTTCTGCTGCTTCCAACAACAGCGACAGCAACAACAGCAGCAGCAACAACAGCGGCACTAAGAGGAGAAGGAGGAGTTCATGGGTGGTGGGTGCAGTGACGACGCTCACGAGAAGGAGCAAGCGAGCAGCTTCTGCTGGATTTTGCCGTCTCTGCTCTGCTACTCGTCTTCATCTGCGGCGCTTATCGCAGGGAGCCTCACACTGGGTGGGAGTGTTTGCAGCTTCTGCGCTTCTGGCTGCTGCAAGTCCTCTAAATCCGCAGCTGATGAGGGCTCTTTCAAGAGTATTGCCTCCGCATTTCACGAAGCTGCCAGATTTTGCGAGACACGAGGTAGGCGGGAGTGGAAGGCAGGGGGAGGGAGGGAAAGGAAGGAGGATCCTTATTATGAGCAACAGCAAAGAGGCATTATTATGAGCAACAGCAAAGGAGCTTGCTTATGAGCAACAGCAAAGGAGCATGCTTACGAGCAACAGCAAAGGAGCGTGCTTATGAGCAGTAGCAAAGGAGCGTGCTTACGAGCACTAGCAAAGGAGCAGGCTTATGAGCAGTAGCAGAGGAGCAGTATGCCGTGCATCCGCCCCGTCACATGTCGACACCTTCCTGCCGCTGCTGCCACGTCTCTCGGTGGGAGGTCGATAGGAACAAAGAGAGTCGTAAGCGTGTGAATTTATGATCTGTTGCAGCTTGGAGCATTCGAAGTGCGCAGAAGTTCTCCCTGCAGCAAAATCTCGGAGTGTCTCCTCATGGGAAGCCCTTCTCTCCAAGAGGCTGAGGTGAGCAGTCGTAGCTGCCACATTTGCATGCAGCAAGGGAGAATCGCCATCGGGCAGAGCTGCGGATACACCGTGAGTGGCCTTTGTATGAAGTCTCTAGCAGCCTCCTCTGCTCATGTGGCAGTTCAACTCGTTTATGAAGCCTTTAGTGCCTCTCGCTCTTGAGATTCTGGATATTGCCGTGGCTATATGTGTGTTTGTATGTACAGGCATGTGGTTGTGTTCAAGCTGTATTTGTATGTATACGTATCTACACGTGTTTGTAAGCTGTGTATGTATTTGTATGTTTGTATTTTTATGTATGTATTTATGTATATATTTTTATGTATGTATCTGGATGTATCTATGTGTGTGTGTCCATGCATTTGCATGTATTTATGTGTGTACGTATTTGTATGCATGCATCTGTCTTTCTATGCAGGAGGCGCTACGTCAAGTTGCTGCAGCGGAGGCATGTGGAGAGACGAGCAGTGTAGAGTGGATAATCGTGCAGCTGGCAGCTCCCAGTAAGGTAGCCTTTAGAATAGCTTGTATCTCTCTGCCGCCGTAGACGTTTTGGCAGGCTGCGCCGTCGAGAACACCCCTAGCGTCTCTTTCGTCCCCTTCTTCTCTCCCTCCCTCTGTATGTGTGCTGACGCGTAGACGTCTTTTGGGGGAAAAGGGGATTTTCTCCAGAGAGGAGAGGAAGGAGGGTTGAGGATCGACGTTGGGGTAGTTCGCACAGGCGACAACACGGCATGGACGGTTACACCTGCATGCATGCAACCTTGAGGTGGTGTGGCTGTGTGTATTTTTGTATGCTGGGCTGTCTGTATATCTGTATATATATGTATATATGTGTGTGTGTGTTTGTGTATGCGTGTGTGCAGCTGTTATCTTCGGAATCGACATTTATACAGTCCAAGAGACTGTTGTTTCGACCGTGGAGGGTAGCGGAGAGGCTCCGAGTGACTGCCCTTCCCAAGAACCGCTTTTCTTTGTCGAAGGTTTGCGCTCAAAGCCAGCAGTTGATGGGAGCTTGGAGTTGAGCGAAGCATACAGTGAGTGGTGTTAGGGGGGGCAATAGGGATTCTGTGTATGCGCCACGCACGCGCCGTTGCAAAAAAGCAGCTGGAAAATACCGGCTAGAAAGCCTGTGCTTGGTCCTGCAGCAGTAGCGGCTGCCTTAGTCTGTTCTTAGCTCAGCGAAACGAGGTTCTGCAGCAGCAGGGGATGCCTTGCGCTTTTCGCAACGCCTCCGTATACAGCGCAAAGGAGAAAAGGGCGGGGGGTGGGGTGTAGAGAGTTGCAGAAAATAGGCGCGACTGAGGCTGCAGGAGGCCGCATGGCGGAAAAACAACTAGATACGCATATTTTATTTTATTTCTTTCACAACATATATTTATATGTCTCTATATATTTATATGTCTATATATGTGCATATATACACATACATATATATATATATTTGTATATCTATATATCTATGTATATATATATATACATACATGTATATTTGTGTGTCTATATTTGAATTAATATATATTTATTTGTTGATTGTTTGAGTGTGTGTGAATGCGTTTGCAGCGGCGGGCTGGCTAACCGTCTTAGGTTGCTCTGACACTTTGCATCCGCACCACAATTTCTTTTCGGTAGACACAGGGGGATATCCCTTGACACATTTGCGTCTAGGGTTGCGCATGCCTCCAGCGGCTGCCTCGGCTGCTGCGGCTGCTGCTGCTGCTGCCTGCTGCCGCACGCAGGTGCTGCGCCTCCGGGTGTACGGACAGGTCGCGCTGTGGGGAGCGGAGCTGGACAGACACCTCGGAGGAGTTCTTTCTTCGGGGGAGCGCAGATCTTCTTGGCCCCCCCGCGTGCTGCAAGAAGTTTCCAGTTTGCTTCACGGTGCCTGCGTCGTTGTGGGGCCCAATGGCAATGGCTGGACCCCTCAGAATAGACAGGAGCTGCTGCTGCTGCTGCACAAGCCGTCTTCTTGCTCTCGCTCATCGTCTCCGCCAGTGCCTAGGCGGGAGGGAAGCTTGAGTCGGTGAGCATTTTTCGCCTTTCGCGTCTTGCTATCGACGTCGTCACCCCCCAGCGCAGCACAGCGTGGACCCTCTGAATACCTCTGTCTCCATGTGTCGCCGTCTGTGTGTCTGTCTCTCTCTGTCTGTGGCTTTTTTCTCCTTCCTTTCTTCTTCCTCTACACACTTGGGGCCTGTCGCCTCCGCACAAATGTGTTGTGCCGTGAAGGCGAGTCTGCAACAGCCAGCTGCTGTTGAGAAGCTGGATGCAGCGGAGCCGCTTCCGGAGGAAGGGGTCGTGGCGAGCGCAGGTAGCTGCTGCGCTGTTTCTGACCAGGAAAACTTCCGGAGAGAACCTCCTAATACGTGGGCTCGCCTTACACCCTCCCTGTTCATGTGAAGCTGCTGCTGTTGTTTTGTGCTTCAGTGACAGCGCTCACACAGCCAGCAGGAGGCCTAGCAGCTTCTCCCCGTCTTCCTGCAGTACATACGCCTCTCGATTCGCAGCTGCAGAAGACGCTACCGAGACGTGGATCGTTCGGCTTAGCGCGCGCTGCTGCGTGAGGCGTGCTGAATTCACATGCGATCCTTCAACAGAAGAGACAGACACGCTTCAGTCCCACAACTCCGAGGATAATTCAATACACTTCGAATTGCAAGGCGTTGAGGCTCCCAGTGAGGTGCGGCGTAATTCTCTCCAACAAAAGAGGACATGCATGCAGGCGTATGTGTGTCTCTGTCTGTGTTTACTTATCTCTCTCTCTCTCTGTCTGTCTTTACTTATCTATCTCTCTCTCTCTCTGTCTGTCTTTACTTATCTATCTCTCTCTCTCTCTCTCTCTCTCTCTCTTTCTTTCTCTCTCTCTCTCTCTCTCTCTCTCTCTCTCTCTCTCTCTCTCTCTCTCTCTCTCTCTCTCTCTCTCTCTCTCTCTCTCTCTCTCTCTCTCTCTCTCTCTCTCTCTCTCTCTCTCTCTCTCT